TCGAGTCCCCTCTCAGGTCTCCTCTCGAGTTCCCTTTCGAGTCTCCTCACAGGTCCCCTCTCACGTCCCCTCTCTCCTCTCAAGTTCCTTCTCGAGTCTCCTCTCGAGTTCCCTCTCGAGTCTCCTCTCAGGTCCCCTCTCAAGTTCCCTCTCAGGTCCCCTCTCTCCTTTCGAGTTCCTTCTCGAGTCTCCTCTCGGGTCCCCTCTCAAGTTCCTTCTCGAGTCTCCTCTCAGGTCTCTTCTCGAGTCCCCTCTCAAGTCACCTCTCGAGTTCTCTCTCAAGCCCTCTCTCGAGTTCCCTCTCAAGTCACCGCTCGAGTTCCCTCTCAAGTCTCCTCTCGAGTCTCCGTTCAAGTTCCCTCTCAAGTCAACTCAAGTTTCTTCTCGAGTTCCCTCTCAAGCCCTCTCTCTACTCAAGTGCCGTTGGAGGTTCCGCTGGGGGTCCTGTCCTGCCAATCCTATGGCCTGTGCCGTTGGAGGCCCCGCCGACTACTCTTCTGCCAGGGGTCCTGCCAACCCGATGTCCTGTACCGTTGGAGGTTCCGCTGGGGGTCCTGCCAACTCCATGTCCTGTCCCGTTGGGGATCCCGCAGACTACTCTTCTGCCGGGGGTCCTGCCAGCTCTATGTCCTGTGCCGTTGGAGGTCCCGCCGACTACTCTTCTGCCGGGGGTCCTGCCAACCCTATGTCCTGTGCCGTTGGAGGTTCCGCCGACTGCTCTCCTGCCGGGGGTCCTGCCAGCCCTGTGTCCTCTTCCGTGGGGGATCTTGCCGACACCTGTCCCACCGGCTCCGGATCCTGTCCGGTCGACACCGGCTCCTGCCCGGCCTCCGGAGCTGTCCGGTCTTCGCCCTCGGGCCCGGCCCCCTGAGAGCCGCGGTCTTCGCACTCGAGCCCGGCCCCCTGAGTGCCGCGGTCTTCGCCCTCGGACCCGGCCCCCTGACTCTTCCTGCCGCTGCCTTCGCCCTAGTGCTCGGTCCCCTGGGTTCGCCCGCTATGGTCTTCGCCCCTTTTTGGACTCTGCCTTGCCCCCGGGACGTCCGCCCGAGACCCCCTCCTCGAACTCTGCCTTGCCCCCGGGCCGTCCGCCCGAGACCCCTTCCTCGAACTCTGCCTTGCCCCCGGGCCGTCCGCCCGTGACCCCCTCCTCGAACTCTGCCGTGCCCCCGGGCCGTCTGCCCGAGACCCCTTCCTGGTCCTCTGCCGTGCCCTAGGCTGTCAGTCAAGGCCCGTCCTCCGGACCCCCTCCAACCACCCTGCTGGACGTTTTGGATTTTTTTTTTGGGTGTTTAGGGACGTCTAGTATCCGTCCCTTGAGGGGGGGGTTCTGTCACGATATTCATGTCATGTCACGTTTTTTATGTTTAGGTTTGGGTGTTTTACTGTTCTCCTTGTCACGTTTTTCTCCTGGTATATTGTCTGGTCCTTTTCCCTGTGTTTTTCCTCCTGTCGTTAGTTTCCCTGGTGTGTCTAGTTGTCTGATTGTGTTCACCTGTGGCCCTTGTGTTTCTCCTCCCCTGCCCGGCTGTTTCTCGTCTTGTGATTAGCCTCCCTGTATTTAGTCTTCTCTTCCTGTGTTCAGTGTTGGTTCGTCTTTTGTTTGTGACTGAGTTCACCGTGGAGTGTTTTGTTTGTCCATGTTAGATATTAGCCCTTGAAATAAAGGTATTATCAGTGTTTTCTGCGTTTGGGTCCTACCTGCTTCACTCCTCGTATCAGTCCCTGCAAGTTCCTGCACTTCATGGCCCCTCATTTATCTTTTCCTATTCATCATTTTTTTATTTCTATAAAAAACATATGAAAGGAGGACAGGACAACATAAAAATGTTTAGAAGCGTACACATTTCTAAAAACGTATGTGGTTTTCCCCCTCGTTTCTCACATCAAGAGAGAAACTTGTGGTCGGTGGTATGGGCTTGTTTGTCTAAGGGCAGGTGTCTAACTTTTGTATACGACGATATCTCGGGCTCACTTAAATTATTAATATTTAAAGTATTTGTATTCAGTTATCATCTCAATGAATTGATTGCTTATTTGGGCAATACAATGTCAGAAAATATTGAAAAATGTCCAGCACACATTTTAGAGAACCAAGTCTCACACATGAAAAGCTGGGGAAATGATTGCCAGCTTTGCTTAAAAGTTATAAAATAGTTGCAGATTCATCAATATGGTACATGTAAGCCTCTGTTAATAGATACTGTTAAAAAAATGACCTTACCTTCAAATCTGCCTGATGCAATTACAGTGCAGCCCTCTGGACATGATCTGTGAATTCACCATACAACTTTGTGTTATTATTCTCCATTAATGTAACAAAGGAAACTGGAAACATGAATTAGCTTCTCTTTCTTGAGTTGCTCTTCATGTTGATACACACAAATAGTAAGGACAATAAAGCTAAACAGAGCTAAAGATAAACATATTCTGCTATGTACATATATGAAAATAGGTAGATAGATAGATACCCATAAGCAATGTTAAACTTACGTCTGCATAAGGGTAACGGTCCGTGAGCCACGCGCAGAAAGACAGAATCAGCTCGAGACTGTAGTTATTTACAGCTAGTTATCCCTATGTTAGTGGAGGCTAGTGTTAGCTTGCTAGCTAGGAAAGTAAGCGCCTTGTATAATTATCAGATAACGTTTGTTATTTTTCCTTGGCCAAACTTATCCGTGGATACTTTGAAGAATATTTGATATTCACTGCGTTTATATACAGCTAAATATTCCAGCAGAAGGCAGCTAAGGAGGAGAGACCTGGCTAAGGTAAGCTAACGCTAAGTCAACACCTGATGACGTTGATCTAATGATCTAAAGTTCTAAACTGACTGTTTATATACAATACTTTTGATAACCATCAAGTCAATTACGTTTTTTAGGCCTACTTTAAGCTCTTTATCCACTCTTTTTAAAACATTTATTATCTCTTATTTAATGCTGCTCTGTTTTCATTAGTGTTAGACACTGTCAGTCAACGTATACAACTTGATTGTGATGCGTATTATCGTGCGTAGACACTTGGTCTGCATGAATAATCACACATATGCATACACATTTGCTGTTTATTTGTTTAACACTTAAATCCAGTCACATTAAAGAAATATGAAGTATGTGTGAGTGTTTGGTAGAAACCTATAATGGCTGTATTGAACAAAACACAGCCAACCAGGTCCATTATACACATTGTAAATCAATCAGGTTCATTTGGTAGAAATGGACTACCTGATGTTTTATACAGAGTAAAATTAAGGTTATAAGCCTGTCTATTTGATTAATCATGGTATGACTGTGATGTAGTGTTTAAGTGTACAATCATACTCTGTAAAACGTTTTGATAAGTCTCATGGTCATAGAAATGCAGTTGAACAGACACCAATTCAATACAGATGTTGCAAACAGAAGCTATATTATTAAGGTACTGGACTGAATCTGATTTATTTTATCTATGTTTAAAGTGGGCTAAAAGGTTATATAAAATCAAAGGTGTGAAGAGGAAATATGTGTGATCTGGGGGGTGAGGAAAAGAGAAGAAGTGAGTCAGAAAAAGATGAGAAAGGCCCAAGATCAAACGTCTTCCTGACTTTTACAGAATATACCCATTTTTACCGGTAAATTAGCCCCCTTCCTGTGAAGATATCCAGGGTTCAGGACATTTGATTTTATAGCTTGGGTGGGGTGATAAACAGCACTTGGCTTTTGATCGGAAGGGATTGGTTCTGTCAATAAATAAACGCAGTCAGAATCTTCAGGTGTTTTCAACAAGACATGTTCTTTTACGCTTATATTTGGAGTTCAAATCTGGCTTCGTGTGTCAGTCTTGTTCTTGCTCACAGATTATGGGCATGAGCAGGAGGGTATGACTGTTTGGGTGTGATGTGTTTAAACCCTGACAGGCGAATGATGTGAGGCAGGCCCAGTGGCTGATGAAGAGCAACATGATGACAGAAAGTAGAAACATCCCATCCTCTTTAAATGAATTCTTCACTCAAATATGAAAGGGAACTTGTAAACAAAATATGCCCTTTTAAATCCTTTGAAATGATGTTCATAAGAAAACCTTGGAAACAGGTTGATTAAAAATGTTGCTTATGTGAAGAAGCTCCCCTTTTGTAAAGCAGTTGAGTTTAGAATAATTACACAAATAAATTAGGTGTTCAATTAATCTCTGAGGCATTATGCTTCAAGATAGTAGTGTCTAGGACTGACCACTAAGGTGTCAGTCTATTAATCAAAGTTGATTTCATAGCATTAAGATCAATATCATCTTCAAATCACATATTTTACCTAACCAATATGTCAAAACCCATAGATGTTCCTGTGTGTTCTCGCCCGCTGAGGTGTGGAAACTAAATGACTAATTGTACTGATGTGTGTCAGAATGGCAGTTGGTAAATTAGGGTTTTCCCTTCAGTAAGGATGATGATGATCAAAGACAGATTCACACAGACATACATTCATAATGACAGCTTGATTGACTCTTAGGCGTGAGGGGTTTTCCCCTTCCTGTCCTTCTGGCCACATCCCCCCTGCTGACTGATTCTTGCGTTATAACAGTGGGACTTCCATCTGATGACGCTTGTGAATCTCAGGGGGAAAAGCATCTATTGACTTTTGGATTAGGCAAAGTTCCATTACAACTTTCTGGCCAAAACAGATTTTGAAAGTCTCATTTTCACTATTTTAGTCATTAGTGCACAAAACCTAATTGAGTTGTTACATATACCTCTTCAGAAGTCAGGAAAAGCCCCTGGGTTATGTGAAAACACAACCATTTCTAACCTAGATTCTTACATAATTTCCATCTTTATCATATCCTATTTATTCGTGTTCTATTTACAGAGGGGCTTACTGCTCATGATAATAACTACAGCTAATGTGCTATAATGTTGACTACAGTGTATGTTGATACAGGACATTTTAATTATATGCAAATCGAATGAAAAAAAGTTATCTGCTGTTTATTATGTTATTGACCGCTGTTGTATGCTGTACTTTCAGATGTCAATGGACAACAGAAAGAGACCTGTGGTCTCCTCCAACTCTGGTAACTCGGTTTACTGGTCCTCCTCATTTACGCGGCAACCAGCCAGGATCCTGATCGTGGAGGCACTGCCCCCCTCATGGTCAGAGACCTGCATGGTGCTCTGTGATGCTCTGGAGAACTTCCTGTCCCTGGCATGCAGTCTGGACGGCCCCTGCAGGATACCGCTGCTCAGCCTGTACGCCATCAGCAGGCAGCAGGAATGTCTTCTCCCGTTTGTGGTAAGATAGATCAAAGTTACGTGTTTTATGCTGCTTTCACTTTATGTCACACTTTTATTCCTTTGTCTTCTTCCCTCTGTATCTGTAGCAGGTCCGTGGTAACCTGGCCAGGCTGCGTTCCTGTGTGGAGGAGCTGAGGTCTATTCCAGGTGAAGGATGCGTCAGAGGAGCAGCCAGAGGAGGAGAGCTTCTGCGTCGGGCGGTGCTGGACAGTCTGCAGCAGTTCAAGCAGTACATCAGACACACCGGCACTGGCATCCAGGCCAGCAACAACATATCTGTGGAGGTGACCCTCTTCATGCACAACCATCACAACAAGAAAACTATTTCTTAATTCTGAATCACACACTGTGAAAAAAGTAAGCTAAACAACCGCTATAATGCTTTTAAAAACAAAAGCTAAATCGGCTTAGAAACTGTTGTTGAGTACAGTACTGAGCAATTCTCATTCACCTGAGCTATGTTCATTCTGGCCTCAATGTGTGGAGATGCTGGGGATTGAACTCAGGACCTCATCCTGTACATGCGAAGCATGCGCTCTACCACTGAGCTACCCCTCCTTATTTCAACTTTTATGTTACGAGTGGCATCTGCAAGTAAACACAAATCAAATCAAGTTTTATTTATATAGCACATTTATAAACGATTTTTGGTCGAGCCAAAGTGCTGTACATATAATAAAAATAGCCTACAATAGAGACACTTTTACAGCAAATACAACAGCACAAGACATATGTTGGCAAATATCTTGCCTGTGGGGGTGTTGTTTGACAAAGGAGGTCAAGCAGAAATCCTGGGGGGTATACTACGAAGCAGGATTTTCGCTTAGCCGGCTAAATTCAGGGAAAACTCCTACGAAGCTGGTTCTCTTTTTAGCAGGCTAGATCTCCATGGTAACTTATGCTTAGCGGCTAACCTGGGGGGTATACTACGAATCTAGTTCAACCTATCCTGGATATGTTTTGAGTTATCCGGTTGACTTAATCCAAAACAAAGCCGCTCTCGCTAAACTGTCCTACAACGCTGGCTATCAACTCGTTCGAAGTCAAATGTATTTAAAGTCAGATCCACTCGTGTCTTGGACGGGGCAGTGATATCATAAACCTGTTAATGTACGCATTCAAACACTTTTTCTTTTACCAGCTGTATTCACCTTGCAGGTGCAGCTATGTGGCTTTGATCCTGGATAAAGTGTTTAAGTCATGGATGTTTAAAGTTTAATGTCTTCATATTTGACTAGTATTAAAGTTCACTTTTCATTCAGGAAGTATGACGCGCTGCGCTGTCAGTACGCTTGTCCATGTTTGTGATTGGTCGAATGCTCCAAATACCACCCCTTTCATGTGAACGCGCACCTAACTAGATAGGAAACGGCTTGCTTGAGCGATCCACTTGATAACCAGCGTCGTAGTACAGCTTAGCGAGAGCGCGTATGTTTTGGATTAGGCTAACCGGCTAACTCAAACATATCCAGGTTAAGTTGAACCAGCTTCGTAGTATAGGCCCCTGCTATATTGATACAACATCTGTTGTTTCATGTGTCTTTTACAAGAAGTAGAGATGCTGGGGATTGAACCCAGGACCTCATACATGCGAAGCATGCACTCTACCACTGAGCTACATCCCCATGCAAATAGGTGTCAATGTTTAGAAGAAAAGTTGCGCTGAGTCCCTATGTTAACTGTTAGGGAGTTGGAAAGATTCAAATATTCTTTGATGGGAGGGAAGGTTGTGCCATTTTCTAGTTAGTTGCAAGTAACTACTGTGTCTTCTGAACTCTATGCAGCAAGAAGTGGAGGTGCTATTGTTGTGTTGTCTTCTGTTCGGCAAGGTCACAGCTGGGGGGTATACTACGAAGCAGGATTTTTGCTTAGCCGGCTAAATTCAGGGAAAACTCCGGCTTTCCGGTCCTACGAAGCTGGTTCTCTTTTTAGCAGGCTAGATCTCCATGGTAACTTATGCTTAGCGGCTAACCTGGTCGGGACCAGGTTAGGTTACAGGCTAAGAGCTCAACTCAGTGAAAGCACTGCCTGCTGACCAATCAGAGCTCAGTGTGCGGAGTTTAAAGCGATCAAGTCATATTACAGGAGAAAGGAAATACAGAAAAGCTGCCGTCGCAGGAAAGACGGCCGGTGTTGCAGTATAACGTGAGTCATGACAACTGGCGATCCGGTGATCGTCACTGACGTGATCACACTGACGAAAATAATAGAATGTCGCCAGTTGTCATGACTCACGTTATACTGCAACACCGGCAAAAATCACCGACTGTGTGAACGTGAACATTAATAGAATATCACCTCCCATCTTCAGAGCAATCTGACTATTATAACATTAGCGTTAAGAAAGCTTACTTAAATATATGCCACAACATAAGTAACCGGATCAGAGTAACATTAAGTACAGTCCGCGGCATATCACTTCATAATGTATCATATATCTCCTTATCTGAGTCAGCTGAGCCGTATCTGGCCGTGCAACACTCACAGTGTCACATACTGTATGCAGAAGTATTATTTTAAGCAACACATTAAATTGACGAAACACTCGAGACAAATGTAATTAAAGTCAGATGGTGTTTTAGACGGGGCAGTGATATCATAAACCTGTTAATGTACGCATTCAAACACTTTTTCTTTTGCCAGCTGTATTCACCTTGCAGGTACAGACTATGTGGCTTTTATCCTGGATAAAGTGTTTAAGTCATGGATGTTTAAAGTTTAACTTCTTCATTTTTGACTAGTATTAAAGTTGACTTTACATTCAGGAAGTATGACGCTGCGCTCTCAGTACGCTTCTCCATGTTTGTGATTGGTCGAATGCTCCAGATACCACCCCTTTCATGTGAACGCGCACCTAACTAGATAGGAAACGGCTGGCTTGAGCGATCCACTTGATAACCAGCGTCGTAGTACAGCTTAGCGAGAGCGCGTATGTTTTGGATTAGGCCAACCGGCTAACTCAAACATATCCAGGTTAGGTTTAACCAGCTTCGTAGTATAGGCCCCAGGTTAGGTTGCAAGCTAAGAGCGCAACTCAGTGAAAGCACTGCCTGCTGACCAATCAGAGCTCAGTGTGCGGAGTTTAAAGCGATCAAGTCATATTACAGGAGAAAGGAAATACAGAAAAACTGCCGTCGCAGGAAAGACGGCCGGCAAAAATCACCGACTGTGTGAACGTGAACATTAATAGAATATCACCTCCCATCTTCAGAGCAATCTGACTATTATAACATTAGCGTTAAGAAAGCTTACTTAAATATATGCCACAACATAAGTAACCGGATCAGAGTAACATTAAGTACAGTCCGCGGCATATCACTTCATAATGTATCATATTTTCTTATCTGAGTCAGCTGAGCCGTATCTGGCCGTGCAACACTCACAGTGTCACATAGCCTACTGTATGCAGAAGTATTATTTTAAGCAACACATTAAGTTGACGAAACATTCGAGACAAATGTAATTAAAGTCAGATCGTGTCTTAGACGGGGCAGTGATATCATAAACCTGTTAATGTACGCATTCAAACACTTGTTCTGTTACCAGCTGTATTCACCTTGCAGGTACAGACTATGTGGCTTTGATCCTGGATAAAGTGTTTAAGTCATGGATGTTTAAAGTTTAACTTCTTCATTTTTGACTAGTATTAAAGTTGACTTTTCATTCAGGAAGTATGACGCTGCGCTGTCAGTACGCTTCTCCATGTTTGTGATTGGTCGAATGCTCCAGATACCAGCCCTTTCATGTGAACGCGCACCTAACTAGATAGGACACGGCTGGCTTGAGCGATTCACTTGATAACCAGCGTCGTAGGACAGTTTAGCGAGAGCGCGTATGTTTTGGATTAGGCCAACCGGCTAACTCAAACATATCCAGGTTAGGTTGAACCAGCTTCGTAGTACAGGCCTCTGGTCTAAAGAATCTCTGTGTGTGTTTTATACAAGCACAAGCATATCAGATGTTTTCTAACATGCAGTAATCCTATTTCAGTGCCTTTGTTGGCAAATGCCTTTGTTTACATAGGGCTACTAGAGGTTACAATGTAGAGATTACCTTGAAGTGTTGTGTTCTGTTTGGCTAATCAAAGCAGCTCAAACACACTGTGTGTGAAATATATTTTTAATGAATACAACCCAATTGTTAAAACAGTATTTGCTTGACAGCTAGTATGACACTCAGGAATGTTCTATATGTTTTATAAACAGCTTGTTTCCATATATCACAGGAAATACAGGAATTATTTTATAACCTAAACTATTTTAAAGTCCGGCCTGGAGATGCTGGGGATTGAACCCAGGACCTCATACATGCAAAGCATGCGCTCTACCACTGAGCTACATCCCCTCTTAATACCAGCAATCCCATCAACTATAAATGATACAAGTCACCAATACGTTTAGACAAGATGCATGTTTTACATGCAACTTCCCAGTAGGGCACTATATGACAGAGGAGGTTAAGGAAACATTGATAGACAGTGCTAACAAGCATGGAGACAGTTATGCTGTTAGGTAACTGTCACAACATGTCAGACTCGCTATCTTGTTTTTTGTCTGAAGTGCTCGTAGAAAAGCCTTGTATGTTGAGACGTGATTTGTTGTTTCTTATGTTATTTACAAGAAGTGGAGATGCTGGGGATTGAACCCAGGACCTCATACATGCGAAGCATGCACTCTACCACTGAGTGATACCGGAGGAAAGGACGTCCCATTGCTCTTAAAACTCATTTCCCTGCTTCTCGTGGTTTCCTTGCATCTCTCCATGCTTCCCTGGTGGGAGGGACTAGTCGCAGGGGAAACGACGCAAGTGAGGGACGCAAGGAATTCATTTAACCGAAGTGAAACGCACCCAATGTCGAGTATACCTGCTGCAGAGCAACTATTTCAAGTATACTACGTCATCGAGTGGCGCCGAAGGACTGTTTAAATGCATGTTAAATGCATGTTAAATGCCCAGCATTTGGCGCCACTCGAGGTTAAGTAGAAATCCTGTTATGTTGATACAACAATTGTTGCTTCTACTATCTTTTACAAGAAGTGGAGATGCTGGGGATTGAACCCAGGACCTCATACATGCGAAGCATGCGCTCTACCACTGAGCTACATCCCCTCTGTATATAATAAGAAAAAACACAAGCAACAATCTAACACCAAACAAACCTTTGAGTTTTGCACAGCTTTTTACAGGAAGTAAATTCTACGACATATATTTATTTTCTGTACAGATTTATTATGAAGGATTTTCCCCACTTCAGACCAGCACTGACTGAACAGACCCCTATGAT